AACAACTGAAAATGAAATGCCCATGACGAGTAGTTCTTCCCATTAAAACGAATACAAATGGAGTCGGTTTTCTCAATTGACATGATGAAAAAATATATATATCTCCCACTAAAATAATTAATCACAACTAACCAACTAAATGCTGCCCAGCTCACCAAAGTAGCCCAACAAAGAGACAATTATGAAGTTAAATTGTCCAATACAATTTAAAGCCCAACACCGATCAAATTAACGGCCCAACACAAATAGGCCCAACACAAATAAACCCAACCCTATTAAATTCAACAGCCCAACCCAATGGCAAATACCTCCCAAATGAGACAACACAGAACGAACGACGAGAGTGAGAGGCAGTCCCGACCGGCGATGTGAAGAAGAAGGTAGACCGAAACCAAACTGATGCACGCCTGACTGTGAAGGTCTTTAACCAAGAATGACTCAGATGATGGCGATTGGAGATGGCGACGCTGAACAAGACGAAGAGAAAACTCAGATGATGCCGATTGGAGATGTCGACGCCCAAGAACACGAAGAGAAACACCGATAACACGAAGGGAAACTCCGAAAACATGAAGAAGATGCCGACTGGAGCGACGACCCTCGACTGCGATGAGCACTATGACCAAATTTCTGAAACCCTAAACACGCTCGGTAAGTAATTTTAGGTCTCTGATACCATGCCAATTTTGCTGAATGATTTTCTCGTATGTATTGCCTTTAACTTATAGAATGTTATAACAATATAAAAGGAAAGATTTTGTGTTATACAATCAAAGAAATCCCGGATTATATGCGGGTTATAAATGGAAACTAAATAAATAAATATCCTCTGATATATATCTCCAGCAACGGTAAACTAACTTGCTAAAATAGTGTCTTTAATCGGCATTAAGCCTTTTTTTTTACTGGGATGTCATTCATATGGTTCATTATGTCTGTGGGTTTGTATTTCTTTCTTAATTTGTACTAGAATGTTACCTGCATACGAGCATCATTGACACTGCCTTAATAAATGAATCTCTTTTGGTTACTCTTTGCAGATAATTAAGTAAATGACCTTCACTCTATGTTGCTGAATCAAGTTCACCTGTGCTTCGGCGTTGTTCTTTTTCTGTCGCCTCCCTGTGTCAAGGCTCGAGATTCTTTGTTTTTCTCTTGTGATTTAGTCTTCTTGATGTCTATTGAACCCTACCCTTGAATAGGGAATGTTTTGCATATGTTCGTGAAAATTTGGCACACGTATTAATGGGAATTGAGACAATCTGAAGAGGCATGGTGTGGGTTATTCGTTCCTAACTCAAATCTTGAAAGTGTGTCCCCTTTGATGAAGATCTTCTTGATGATTGTGGAAAATATCTAAAATTCTGAACAGGAGAAAAAAGAAAAAGAGATTCTAAACCTTATTTGCAAGTCTAGTTTATTAAAACATTTCATAATTAAATTCAAAATCATTACATTACAATATGATTAGAACTTTAAATTTATTTGCATTTGTTCATGCTTCATAATAATGACAACTCATTACATGCACTCATTTATTTCCCCAATAAATGTTGTAAGCTATCAATATTAAAAAAAAGAAAAAAGGATTTTATGGGAACGAAAAAATCTTTTGTTTTTGGTGATGTTCGCTATTCATAACTGAAGAAAAAAAAAATCGACCACCTAACTAACCCTTCACAAGTGAAGATTATTCGCATTTTTATAATAAAACACGGATCACTCTGATTAATGTCACGACGAGAATCGGATGGGGTGACTCTTCCTACGACGGTCCCAACTCAACATTCACATGCCATAATATTATTCTCATTTAAAACGTTTGTGATAAGATTGATTGATGAATTTCTAAATGGTCCACAGTGAGTGGGTCCCAATTGTTTGTTCCAATTTATGCTTATTTCACCCTTGTGAGAATTTAGAGCGTGTTTGACCATCTTTATCGTGAATAGTAATTTTTAGAAAAAAATGTGTGATTATAAAGTAGGAATTTTTTTTTTGATATACGTGTAGAATATGTGCGAACGAGTAGTTGAAAATGATCATAAAACAAGCCATTAAATAAATTAATGAGGGTCATAAAGGGCACTTAATATGTGACACGAAAATCGAGTCGTAGAGTATTTGTTCATTGAGTAATGTTATACAAGGACCGTGGGTCTTATTTCTACACATTTAGACCCAGTTTGACAATTATTTTTTCTGAAAATTGAGTTTTGAAAAATGATTTTCGGGAGAATTTGTAGTTAAAAAGTAAGAAAAAATTTTGTATTTACGTGTAAAATATTATATTGTGTGAATGTGTGGGTGAAAAATGAATATATAAAAAAAATTGTCAAACAGGGACTTAATTAGTTCAAATTATTCTTGTTTTACCAACTCAAAAAAGCATATTCTGATCGTATCAATGCACGTAACAGACGTGTCCGTTTAACAAAACCCCTCATGAGAAGAGATAAAATTCCAATTCGATTACAAATAAAATAAATATCAACGTATAAAGAAATGAAATATTTTTCTTAATAAAATTAATATTTTAAGATAAATAAACAATATCATATATGATATTAGCGTTCGGAAAATTTCATGAGTATCGATTTGTCAAAAAGTTAAATGAGCAAGTAAATTTCAAAATTAACGTTGTCAAATAAGTCACATTCTTATATAAATAGATAAATACGCATTTGTTGTATATGTATCGACATCAAAAAAATATACGTACATATTATACAGTATAATTAAATTCTATACGACCATCGTCATCAACTCACCACCCACCACTTCACAAACAAAACAAAAGTTGCGTAAAAACACATGGCTGATGACACGTGAATTGCGAGTCATAATACAAGTTTTTGTATGTGACCAATCTTTTTCAACAAAACCCCACCTTCCTACTTTATATTTGTTTATTTAAAAAATCCAACTCCCCACTTCAAGAAAAGGCAAAAATAAATAATAAAATACATATGATATTAAGCAAAAATAAATCAAAAATTACATTGTCCACCCAATCTTTTTAGTTTTCTTTTCAATAAAAATCATTTATTTTCATTTTGTTTGGTTTATTTTACATTTATTTATTTACCTTTTAAAGGGTAATAGAATTTACATTTTAATTCACTTTCCGTAATTAGTTATTTTGTCGGTTTGTATGTTTAGTATATATTGATTTGCTCAACGATCAAAAAATAAGAATCTTAAAAAGATCGGGTATTGGTTGACATTCAATAATATCAATTTATTAAAGAAATTGTCGGTAATTTATCTTTATTTCCTCGAGCGCACCTCTTGTCCTGTGATGTAGACTCGCATTTACTTTTTAAATACAGTACAATTTTGTGTTCGTAATGTACACATGACTTGATATCATGTACATATTGATCATGAACATCGTTGATTTGACGTACGACTCCGAGCAACGATCTTTTTCTTTTATATCCAACTAAGAAATGACAAATTTATAAGCTATAAATTATTTAAAATAATTGGATTTTTTTCTTTTGATTATTTAACCAAATATAATTCAATTGTTTCTTTTCAACTGAGTACACAATACATTTCATAAGCATGTTTCGAAAATTTTAATAAAAAGGCCTAAAAACAGGAGGGGTTTTGTAAAAGAGATGGCTCTAATCTTAAGCAATAGATAGAACTTCTGAACTTTTTACGACGCCGTTTCTTCGTTCTGATCCAGTCCCGTGTTTTTCACGATTTAATTTAACTCAAAAATAAGAAAAGTAATTAAAAATAAGTTCCCCAAAAAATTAAAGAAAAGCCCTGTATTGATATCTAGAGAGAGAGAGGAGAGAATATCTCTCATTCTTTAAACATATATTGGTCTCTAAATTTCACTTAATCAGGACAAAAATCAGGACAAAACTTTTTCTGGATTTCTCCTTTGATTTTTTCCTGAAATATATCAGATTCCTTCATCATTTCACTTCTTGAAGAAAACCCTGTTTAGATTATTGCTTTTATTTTGGTATTTTTAATATTTTTTGCCATAATAGTCTACGGATATATTTAGAAAATTTTCTTGGATTTTCTTGGATTTTTCTCAACAAACTTAATCCTTTTTGAAAACTTGTATTCAATTCTGATCGTCTGAAAATTTTAATTTTTTTTTCTCTCAGATATAAAAAAACCCACAAAAAACAGAAGTTTCCAATAAGAATTCGATTGAAAATTCGGATATCTTGGATTGTTTGTTCTCATCAAGATCGAGTTTTGACACATTTTTTGTGATTAAGACTCGATTCTTTTATCTGGGATTTGACTAAAGATTTCATTTAGAAGGCTTTTTAAATTGAATTGAATTGAAATTTTCCTCATGGGAAATAGTTCGAAAAGTCTTGATAAATGGAGGGAGTATTTTAGGAGTGCAAATTCAGATATATTTGATATAGTTGAGCATTCAATCATGGTTGCAGCTTCTGATTGTCCCAATGACTTCAAATTGAAAAGGGATCGAATTGCAGAAATGCTTTTCACATGTAAAGTGACAAAGTGTTTTGGTTGTGACAAAATTGAATTATCAGTTCCAAATGATGATGATGATGTTGAGAAAATCGATGAAAAGTGTAAAAGTGGGATAGAGGCTGGAGGGAGTAAAGATACTAAAGAAAGCAAGGTGAATAGCAGTAGAAATGATGATAATAGGGAGATGATGGAGATGAATTTGAATCAGGTTAGCAATTACAGTTTTGGAGAAGCTGAGGCATTGACAGATGAAATTGAGGAGGAGTCTCAATTGTTTGAAGAAGTCTCAAGAATCAAAGAAATTCTTGACAATAGCGAGGACGAGGTTTGTTTTGATTCGATTTGATATATTGAATTGAATTGAAGTTTTGTTATTCGTCATTTACAGATGAAGATATGTAGTTTGATTTAAAAATTCAGTTGATTTACATCGATTTAGCTTCCTAACTTGTTTTCTAATTGATCAAATAAGAAAATTATCAGTGATGAAAAGTGGATCATAGTCCAATGTTTTGCAGTTCTTCTGTGTTCATTTGTGAATAGAATTTGAGCTTGAGGCATTTAGTTAACATTCAGAAATGTTGCATCTATTTAGTTCATACTAGACACAACCGAACATGAGAATTGAAAAGATTTTAGCTTCGTTTTACTTAACAAACGTGCCACTAATACATAATTTCTGTTTTTGAATAGTTTTGATGATTTGAGAACGTTGTTGCTTCCTAACGATTGGTTGGATTATGATGATTGAGTTGCCTTTTTGCAGCTTTATTAGTTTTCTTAAGAGTTATCTGGTTTTGATCTTTGCCATTTTTCACCTTACAGTCTGATTCATTGTTATTTAACTCACTGAGGAGGCTTCAACTGATGCCTTTGTCCGTGGAGACTCTGAAGGTTCGAGTAGATTCTTTTGCTAGTTACCAGAATTTTTTTCTGAAGATTTCCTATTTCTCAAGTTTCATCCTACTTAATTTACTGGTTCTTAACTTATTTGTTTATATTTCAGGCTACTGAGATTGGAAAATCTGTCAATGCTCTGCGGAAGCATGGATCAAAGGATATACGGAATCTTGTACGGATATTAATCGAGTACGGAAAGCTAACCTCTTGGCTTCATATGGTTACTGTGTTTGACTCTGAAGCAAATGTGATTCGATTACCTGTTCTTGAATATTACAATGTTGTGTTCGTGTTCTTAACTTCTTATAGAGTGAAACATACCCCTCACAGTGTTCGAGTTTTAGTTTCTCCTACATGTTGTCGACCTGGAAAAGACACTATTGAGCCGCATAGATGGTGTAATCTTTTAGGCTTGATTGAGTATATTATTACATGGTAATTACTTGTTTTCCTTGTCTGTCTATACATTAAGCTTGATTAAGTATCTTATTTTAGGCTTCGTGTCATCTTTTGAATAACCCTCAACTCGTTCCTTTTAATTCTAGTGATGATAATGATGAAAAATGGCTTAATCATTGGAGTGTTTTGTTCCCTTTTTTGATGTATTTTGCAAAATGACTGATGAAGAAAGGGCTATGTAATTGGATATCTTAAATAAGAAAATTCGAATTCTTACAGTCAAACTTATTGTCGTTTTCTCGTGACGCAGAGATTGGAAGGTCATGGTTGATGAATGGGCTGCTGCTACTGCCGCTATTGCAGGTACTTCGTCTGGAATAAGTTTTTTGCAACATTATCTCTAATTTTTTGCACTGTCCTAAAAATTGTAAAGGGTGGTTTGGCGGCAAGGCCAAGCTTCGTGCCTACCGATTTTTTAGTTTCAATCTTAAGATTAATGTAGTACTTCATCTTAAAGCTGCAGAGGTTGCAACGGAATCCGTGAAAACTTCTGTTGTTGAAGAAGAGGAAGGGCTTCCTTCTCCACCTATGGATGAAGGAGCGTTCTTTGCTACTCCTGCATCAATGGAGCTGTCACAGGTGTGGTGCCTCATCGTCTTTCTTTATTTGGAAGTTTGTAATTTTTGCATTTTGTGCTTATAAGCTGATTATGTTTTGCTTCTTGTCCCCTCGGTCGTGATGTGAAGTTCTTTGACGGCATGGATGATGATGGAAGTAAGTTCTTGTCCTTGTGTTCTTTTGGTTTGTTTGGTGCAGTGGATTGTACAGTTGAACACGATTAAAGCAGAATTTTAAGCTAAAATCTTATCCAATAGCTATTTTCTAATACTACTTATCAAACATAAGCTTAGAGTGAAGCTTTTTCTGTTTGGTTCTTTACTCAAATTCCCCGCTAATAACGTGCATGACTTTGATCGGGGACTTTCCAGATCCTCGAAACAGCGGGGAATTCAACAAGAACCGTGAAAATGGCAGAAAGCCGAGAACGGAGAAACCTAATATCCCGAAAATGAAGCACCAGGTTACGTGTGATTCTAGCACTCCATCTGAGGACAGGAAGGCTGAACAAAAGAAGAATCCGGAAGCTGTAATGAAGAAACAAGCATCTCTAATTAAACCAAATAAGTCTCTGACTGGTGAATCGGGGCCGGGGAGACCAAAATCTAATGTGGAACGGAGGGTTAATAACGAGATTAAGGTCCAACGAAAACCTGACAACAGCGCTGTTCAGAGACGATCATTGCCTCCTCAACAAGATGTGAGTATAAGTACTGATTTATCCTTTCCTTAAAGCCGAAAGGTTTTATGTTTATCTACTGTTCTAAATTTTTGTTATACCAGAAACCGAGGTGTGGTAACGATGAATCTTCAGTTCGAGCAAAATTAGAAGCGGCAAAGAGGAAACTTCAAGAACGATATCAAGAAGCCGAGAATGGTTTGTCTCATTTTGAACTCCACTCTTAACAAATCCAAATTTACAGCGACAATCAATTATCTACTTGCATTTTTTCCCCTTCATCTAAAAATCATGATTTCGTTTCTTGTTCTTCTTCACAGCCAAGAAGCAGCGGACGATACAGGTTGTTGGGTTGCATGATCTCCCAAAGCAAAATCTTGCTCGGAAAAATCAGCAAACGAGGCCTGGCAACAACAACAACCGGCATTGGGCAAATGGACGTCGCTAGATCCCTCTACTTACTCGACTTAGATATGATCATGCTTCGAGTTTCACAAGTTGACCTAGTGGTGGAAAATGTTCATGAATTCCCCGTTTATTTTGTCCGAATCTGCATTCGATTGATTTTCGAGAAGAGGAGCAGCCGTAAAATCGGGGGAGTCGAGCTCGTTTAAACTACTATATCATAGGGGTTTTAGTTACATGTCCTGTGAATTTTATTATGTAGAGGAAGGTCTTGGCAACATTTTTTCCCCATTACTGTGACTATTGGGACACAATCTGCACACAATTAATTATGTGCATTTCTGTATAAACCAATCTAAATAAAGCAAAAGAGAAATTCAGCATTTCAGAGAATTAGATTTTTCCAGCATACTAAATTAAAAGTTACACTTTTAAAAGGTATGTTGAGGCTTATTCTGTAAAGTACATTTTGTCAATAAAAAGTTGGTTCTATAATTATGTTTAGAAATTTTTGAGTCAATTCCCTGACCTATGCCATTGAAAATTCAGGTTTCAACTTAGATGACCAAGAGTTCTTTCTCTCTACAATTTCTTTATAAGCGACTCCATTTTTGAACATTCTTAAAATTACTTTTATAGATGAACGAGACCATTAGGTAAACAATTGATCTACCAATATATGATTTCGATACGATTGATCTCCCTATTATGAATATCTGGTTGTCATACTCGTTTTTTGGAAAACTAGAATTCATATAGGAGCTTAAGTGTTAAGTTTAGGGATGTGTTCATTCGACTAAGTAGTGATCCAAGCTCACTTCAGGAAGCGACAACCCTATTTCCAGTAGTTTTGGCATATGGGTTTGGCTACACTTTAAAAATACTTATACATTAAAAAGTAAAGTTTTATGCTGTCAAAATTGAAGATAATTAAGTTAAGTTACTATCAAAATAAATAATTATTAGAGAAACTTATTTATTTTTAAGCTAGTCAAAACATGTACATACATTTGTTGAAGAAGGGTGGTCCAAGTCCAATAAAGTGTACATGCATAATATTGTCCATTCCTTGGTCGATTCGATTATCTTTCAACTTGTCTCTCTCTTCTTTAATGGCCTACAACTTTTGACTCTTCGATTTACATTTATTTTTCAGTTAAGGCTTAAGGGCCACGTTGTCGGATATGATCAAATAATAAAAAATAATAATATGAAAATTGAATGTTTTTTTTTTTTTTTTGCCAAACACAGACAAATCCAAGTTTTATATTTTAAAAAAAATAGTAAAAAAATACAGTAAACTTCATCAATGATACTAACGATTTTTCCATCACCGATCAACATTGAAGTACTATCGATGATTGCTCATGACCATATCATTAACAAGACTACTATTGGCAAAAGTTTGTGAACGTACATTGGAGATTGCGTATAGTATTAATTTTATCTCAACCACCAAATAATATTAATTTAAATCAGAATCATGTGCAGCATTTAAATTTTATATAATATAATATTTTTGGAAATGCCCCCTTGCATAGAATCCCTAAGGCGGCACCTAGGTTGATGCTGCCTGTATTGATCATGGTCGACCAAATCGTCTTTTAATCGTTTCGGCTAAATGTGCAACTTTCCAAACATTATATACCATTTCGAAGTTATGTTAGGTTGATTAAATGGAGTAATTAGTTATTAGCTTCTTAAGAGGAACACACACACAAACACACACACACACTAGGTGCAAACAACGTGCAATGCATGTTTGCCTAGTTTATATTTAATAGTTTTGTTTAANACTAGGTGCAAGCAACGTGCAATGCACGTTTGCCTAGTTTATATTTAATAGTTTTGTTTAATAATTAATTTGTTATTAATAAAGATGTAATTTTTTTGGTTAATTAAATAATTAATGATGTAATGTTTATGTAATTGATAAATAATTAGATGTGTGATTTTGATATTGTGATGTAAGTTGGTGAGATCGAAGAAAATAAGCAAAAATTGACAAATTTGGAGATATGACTAAAGTATAAGGGATCCAAAGTTCGGGGACTAAAATGTAAATACTTAAAAGTTGTGTCGAACCTCACGATGAAAATTTGAGAGTGCTCAGAGTTAATTGGATAAAGGAAGACGTCAATGGAATCAAATTTAGTCAAAAGATGATCACAAATCAATTTTCAACTGAAAAGTTATGCTCCGATGTTTTAGTCTCATATTGAGACCTATTTTTGGCATAGAAAATGATTGAATTGGAGAATGATGTCTGAATCAAAGTTGTAGTCAAATGAGTTATCTTTCCAACGCATTTTGAATCGCCTTAATCGGACATCGGAATACAAAGTTATGATAAAAACACTAAAAGAAGGTGCAGCTGCCTGTTTAAAACAAAAAATTCCGTTACATAGTTCGTTAAAACAACAAATTTCGTTAGTTTTTTGGTTAAAAACAATAAATTCCGTTACATAGCCACTTTTAATATATGGAAGATATATATATATAATTTTTTTATTGTTTTTTTCCATCCGATATTAGTTTACCAAGAATCAAAGAATCTGTTACGATGTAGCAATCATTCATACCTTTCAATTCTTTATTGATTTGATTGGGGTAGTTGAACTAAAAAAAGATAATTAATACGTAACGTCTACACCTTTCACTGTTATTGTGAAAAAGTTATTACCTTTTATTTTTTGACATTTTCATCCTTATTTTCACATTTCATTGCGCAAAAAATTATTTTCATCCATTTTATCAATTAAAAATTGTAAAATGATGAATATACCCTTCTATTTAAATAAAAGAAAAAAAATTAATTGCAACCACAATTTTTTTTTTAAAAGCCCAAATGAATCCCAAATAAATTATTAAAAGGGTAAAGTACATAATGTCCCTACATTTCACTATTTTAACGGGAAACATCTATACCTTTCGTTTTTATTTTTTTGGCATTTTCACACGTAATTACACATTTGATTGTGCAAATCATTATTTCTATCCATTTTCATCTAATTTCTCATATAAAGAGTCGTGAAATAATGAATATACATTTCTATTTAAATAAAAAGATTATACAATTAATTACAATCGTAGTACCAAAATTTTTTAAAAAGTGCAAATGAGTCCCAAATAAATTATTAGAAATTAGTTTTTTTTTTTAAATAAAGTGCAAATGAGTCTCAATTAAATTTATTAAAAAATAAAATTAAAATTAAAAAGTGCAAACGAGTCCCAAATGAATTATTAAAAATTTAATTTTCTTTATTTTTTTTTTAAATATTAGGGTATATTCATTATTTCACAACTCTTTATTGAGAAATTTGATGAAATGAATAGGAACGGTGGTTTGCGCAATCAAATGTATAATTACAGGTGAAAATGTCAAAAAAAAAAAAAAGTATAGACATTTTTCGCTAAAATAGTGAAATGTAGGGATATTATGTGCTAATTACTCTTTTAATAATTTATTTAGGATTTATTTGTACTTTTTCGGAAAAAAAAGGGTACTATGGTTGCAATTAATTTTTTCTTTTTCCTTTTGTTTTATTTGAAGAGAAACGTATATTCATCATTTCACAATTTTAATTGAGAAAATAGATGAAAATGACCTTTTGCGCAATGAAAGATAATAAGGGTGAAAATGCCAAAAAATGAAATATAAACGTTTTCCACAATAATAGTGAAAGGTGGAGACGTTATGTATTAATTATCCAAAAATCACTTTAATCGAGTTGAGGCTACAATAGCTTAATCATTAGATTTTTAGATTATTCCAATTAAAATCGGCTAATGTTTTTCTGTCACAATTTTTAGGTTGCTGCTCTTTGCCAAATTCAATAAAATCTCTATAAAATAATAATATTCGGACCGAGAAAAGTATTATTTTAGAGAGATTATTAATTTATCAATAATGAATAATTTATTAATTTATAGATTATTTTGTATTTTTATAATCCCTATAATATTTTATCATAATACATGTAGGAAATTTAAATAAAAAAAAACATTGAATGTTATGAAATTCGAAATTTAATCTGTAACCACATTAAAAGGCACACACGTACATTCATTAGAGGAAACATTAATGTATATGCATTGAAAAAAGAATACTATTATTTATGGTCATGATGATAAATTATTGGTGACGTAGTAGTTTATGTGGAATAATGAAATTGTGCAATTCAAGTTATTATCTTATGCATTCAACGAGG